CCTCCCACCCCCTGCCCCCCTCCTCAATGTAGTGGCCTTGGATATCCCGTTTGTTAATAAAGACAATTCAACCAGCTCCCACCATTTCAGGCCCCATTTTATTCTTTTTTTTTTTTCTCACAATCTGAAATACTAGGCAGAGAGACCCTGCAGAGTTGGGATGAAAGGGGCAGAACAGGGTGTGATCTGCACTGAGTGAATCTCATGGGGGTAGGGTGGGCAGTGCTGGGCCAAGAAAACCTGGAAGAAATTACTGAGAGGGGCCACCTGCACTAAGGGTATTTGGTCGCCGCCCACTTCAGCAGGGCCAGGCTTCCTGGCACCAGCCTCCCTGTGTGCAAGTCCTGCAAAGGAATCTCCTGTTTGACTATCAAATAGACAGAGATAGCTTAGAAGCTCATAGGCCTCTGGAGTAATGGGGGGCTGGGCTTGAGAAAAGCTGGAGGTCAGCAAGGCTGATTTGAGGGCAGGATTGGCACGTAAGAGCTTGTTTGAACCATCTGCCCTCGTCTACTGACCCCTGAACTGAGGCCAGACCTACACAATTGGGCATACAGCATTCCTCTTGGGAAACTCACAAAAGATAAATTTCTCAGCAGCAAGAAAGAATCATAATACAGTCGTGGCAGCAGCTATTTTCAAAATCTATCTCCTGCTGGACATGGGTGGGGAAGTCGGTGCAGGCCCAGATTGGATGCACGGTGGGAAGGGGAGGACAGGCACTTGATTTAAGTAGCCCCCGAGAAAGATGAGGATGGAGCCCACGCTGAAAAGCACCAGAGCAGCCCAGAAGCAGATGTTGTTAAGGGCATTCCCCATGCGCACCCACTCGGACACCTCCTAGGGAAGAGACGCACAAAATGAGCCAGCAGCTGCTGGAGCCAGCGGCACGGCAGGTGGGGGGAGCCTCTGCAGCGCCGCACCTCGCCGGTGGCCTCCTGGCCTCGCGTGCTCTCGGCCACGAAGTTCACGGCATCCACACAGCAGCGGATCTCGGGGGCGGCGGCGCCCAGGCTCTGGCAGAGGGCAGCTGGCAGGGCAACACCGAGGAAGGCTCAGAGCCTCCCCCGGTGCGGGCGCCCCCGTTGGCTCGCCGGGGCCACTGTGCTCACCCGTCCAGGCCGCGTGCCGGTGCCTCTGCCCCTCAAACACGAGCTCGCTCCGCGGCTTTTTCAGTATCAGCTCCTCCGCGCGGAGCAATAAGCGCACCGACGACGCCCGCCTAGGGGACGCGGCTGCCGGGGGCGCCTCGGCGGCCTGGCCCGAACCCAGGAGGCGCGGCAGCAACTCCAAGAAAACCTGGGGCGGGGCCGGGGCGGGAGTTAGCGCGAAGCCCCGCCCCCCGCCCCGCCCCCCGCCCCCCG